TATATTAACAAAGTTCTTGAAAAAACTACAATTATTAATAAATATTTATTTATATTAGAAATATAATTATTTAATTATATTTCTAATAGATAGATATCGATTTTTGAATTCAGAGTTCTAATAGCTCGACCACTATCAAACACCCACTCAATTCCACTTATTTTTACCAAAAATGCAAGTGTTTCTAGCTTGCACTTAAAAATTTTCAAGCTATAGAGAAAATTACGACTCGATAATAAATAAACAAATAAAAGTATAACGAGACGGAAATCTCAACCCAAGACTAATCAAGTATCTGTATCTTCTGATCTAGAATCGGCCTATTCCCTCTACTTTCGCGAATAGTTGAATGTAAATATTTTAAATAGTTTTTTTTCTTTATCCTTTGTATTTTATTCCCTTTGTTATTTTTGTTAAAGTTAATTAATTCCAACTGGAAGTCGATTTTCATTTATTATAACTAAGGTTGACGTCAAAATAGCCTACATTCATTACCAAGACACAAAACTTAGTCTGACGTCAACTTGTTCTAACTTAAATTTTATTTTGCACAAATTTTTTGTTTATAAAAATATATTTTATTTCATATATTCAACGATTTATTATAATGATAAGTCTTAAAACTCTTGTTCATGACATTATTATTATAAAAATCGTTGTGCTTTATTTCCGCACTCTACTGTATCATTCAATCCTTTTTGAACAAACTATAACTTTAGGTTTCCGTTTATAAATAGAGTATATTGAAAAAAAGACGTCAAGTTGGCTTGGAAATGATGATGTGATCAGTCAGTATAGAAAAAGGACACAAAATGTAATCGTTGTTTTTAAACAAAATGTTTAGAGCATAAAAACACTGATAAAAATGCAATTACCTCATTGTAATTAAGTGTATCATTACGTTAAAAGAGTTAAATGCATAATAAATTGAAAGAATCATTAAAATGTTACTACTTTATCGATTACTAGGCCTAGAGGTATTATAATTTTATTCTTAATCGTTTGTTTTAAGTCTTTATAATTTGTTTAATTGCTTTTTGGTTTTAGTGTTTTAGTGTTTGTTTAATATATATATATATATAATCATATTTCAATGCAAAAAATTTTTGTTTATAAAAATATATTTTATTTAATATATTCAACGATTTATTATAATGATAAGTCTTAAAACTCTTGTTCATGACATTATTATTATAGAAATCGTTGTGCTTTATTTCCGCACTCTACTGTATCATTCAATCCTTTTTGAACAAACTATAACTTTAGGTTTCCGTTTATAAATAGAGTATATTGAAAAAAAGACGTCAAGTTGGCTTGGAAATGATGATGTGATCGGTCAGTATAGAAAAAGGACACAAAATGTAATAGTTGTTTTAAACAAAATGTTTAAAGCATAAAAACACTGATAAAAATGCAATTACCTCATTGTAATTAAGTGTGTCATTACGTAAAAAGAGTTAAATGCATAATAAATTGAAAGAATCATTAAAATGTTACTACTTTATCGATTACTAGGCCTAGAGGTATTATAATTTTATTCTTAATCGTTTGTTTTAAGTCTTTATAATTTGTTTAATTGCTTTTTGGTTTTAGTGTTTTAGTGTTTGTTTAACATTTGTAATAAAATAACGCTTTATTGTACAAAAAGCCAAAATAGCTTCATCGACAAAGTATTTACAAAACAAACAAAATTAACAAATAATACTAAAAATATACAAATAATAAAAAATATCATACAATACAAATCAATTCAAAAAAATTTACGCCATTAAAATTACAAATAAAACATTCATGGACATTGCAGAACACAAAAAAAATAATAAAAAAGGCGTATCAATAAAATTTTACAATAGGAAAATTGCAAGTGGATATAATCATGTAAGAGTTATAAAATATTAAATACTCGACCTTTGACCAGTGTGTGAGATGATCAAAATTTTAAAATTCGAAATTGTTCATGATTAAACATCAACAAAAAAGTTAATTATACATTATAAAGTTAAAAAAGTTAAAGTTAAAATACATTATGAAGACCAAAGACTTGTAATGCATTAATGTTTATAGAACTGAGTAAGAAAATAATATATCAATTCGGTCCAACCCCACACTTTATCTGCAACCCCACTAGTTCTAAGAATTCTCTTGTTCACTAAAGCGTGTGAAAGCGCTTCAAAATCTCTCAACGCATGCTATAAATTTGAACTGTCTTATAAATCTTAAGGTTTTATGAAGAAACATTTTAGCCTCTTCAGAATTTAGTCCTCTAGTCGCGCTTAAAAAATGTTAGTATAATTTAACTCTCTTGTATTTAATAGTTAATATGTAAAAACTATTAAAAAATCTTTATCAAAAGAATATTTTCACATTTATGTTATCTACTGTTCGTCCGTCCACAACTCCACAAAACAGGAAGTGGTAGATAATAAGGCTATAGAAAAATAATTTTAATTAAGGATACGCAGAATATATTTAAATACAGGGTGTTCCAATATTCTGTGGACATAGAACTACTAATTTTTAATCACTATTAACTTTGAAAAATATGCTCTAAACAAATATTTTAAAACTATAACGAACTAAAAGTCAACATCTTCGACAAAGCTTAAATCGTATTATTAATTGATAATTGGATATAATTGGTTATTGATAATAAACCAGTTGTAAGTACTTAAAAAAATAATAATAAAAATAAAAATGTCTTATTTTAATGACACACCCTGTATCAATATTTATAAAAATTAGAACTTAAAAGTATCTTAGATAAGGAGGATTCAATATAATTTATCAGATTTGAAATAAATACTGTCCTAAGGGTAGTTTACTCGCTTGACTCGAAGAATATCAAACCCCATTAAAACGTACGTCTATGAGGTATCGCATTTCTTATCCTGGGCAAAATGTACGTCTTATAGCCATACAGCCTCCTTCCAAAAATGAAAAAGATCGCTCAACAAACAATCAAGATATTGGCTTGTATCCATCTTAAGTGGGACACCCTGTACATTAGAAATATTTTCCAACGACTGTTTTTTTTTTCGTAAAATGCTCCTCCTAGTATTTACCACCTTTTTGTCTTTTGTAAAAAAATGTCACGTACTACGTACTTCCATATTTCGTGAACATAGAACAAACTACCTACATATTTTTTGAATCAAAATAAGTTTAATTGCCCACAATTTGCCTCTGTACAAAAGTGCTTCTTGGCGGTACAAAACAATAAAACATTAACATTATGAAATATAAAGCATTAACCTTTCTAAATAAAAATAATTACTTACCAATCAGCAACATTATATTTTTGCTAAGCTTATTGTTTATAAGGCTATTTAATAATGGATATTTCATACATTCTTAGCGATACTTGATTTATAAAATATTTATATGTTGCATAAAAAGTACCCTTGATTTTTAACACGCAAGTATATTTAACTGTAAATGGAGAATTGCATACATATGCACTTTCTGTTCACTGTTTAATACCTTCCAGTTAGGATTAAAAAGGAATGTTCAGATAAAAATAGTTATTTTTTATAGATAACTGGTATTTTAGGTACTTATTTTATCGTCGATCGAAAAGACTAATTTAAGAATTAATTTCGAGAGACGATAATGCAATTTTATCGTCGTGTATAAAACAATATTTTTTTCCATGGCGAGTTTTAAAAAATATTCAGAAATTATTATTTCAAGGAATTGATTACGAGTAGAAAAAATATTGTGCTGGGTTGGCGTTGGTTTCTATGTAATTTGACAAATAAATAAAGCTGTCTCTTTCCTTGTCAGTTTTGAGTCAATATTTTTTAATTCTCTTTCGTGTCGATTGCTCTGATTGAATTGGAGCCAGAAATGGCTCAAAACGGAATAAGTAAATTACCAACAGATATTCAGGCTGAGGCGACAAACGCCATATCCAAACTACTTCCATTTAAATCCCGAGTAACTTATGAAAAAGAATACAAAAATGGTCAAAAATGGAAGCAATTAAAAAACGTGCGAGAAGAAAGGTCAAGTGAAAACATACTTTTAGCATATTTTTCTGAAAAATCAAAGAAAATGCAGCCGTCCAGTTTATGGTCGTACTATTCAATGCTAAAAAGTACAATATTGGTCAATGAAAACATTGATATTTCAAGGTAAGGATACGCTATGCCGTTTAAATTTTTCCGTAGTATAGTAACATCTAAACTTTGCAGATATAGCAAGCTCATAGCTTTCTTGAAGCAGTCATGTAGCGGTTACAAACCGAAAAAGTCAAAAATTTTAAACCCAGAAGATGTCGTGAAATTTCTTCGCTTTGCTTTTTTGCATTTAATCTAACCTTGAGGTTAAAGTACCGCATAATAAATAAATAAAAATAAAAAACGGCGTCAGCGATGGCTATGAAATGAAGATCGTTGTCATTTTATATGGGACATGTCATCGATCGTCATTTCATGGCCATCGCTGACGCCGTTTTTATTCGATCATACGGTACTATTTTATCTACTATTTTTGATAGATATAAGAACTTTAACAGTTCCTATGGAAAAAAAAATCGGTAAAAAAACTTTTAAGTTAAACGGTTTTATCTTATGTGTACTGAAAACTAGAAAATAATAATAACAATTAGGTATTTTGAACTTCTAGTTCAGAAATATTTTAGTACTAGGCAGAATAGCCTTTAGGCATATTAGACTAAAATAAAAACGTGGGGCCCTCTGAAATCATACCTATGGCAAAGCATATCTTTATACTTTGGTAGATCATGAGCTCGGCGTTCGCTGGTGAAGCCGCCACGGCTGGTTATTGATTGTCAAAATCTCCAGTTACGATTATAGTAAGTCGATGCAATCCACACTTAGTATAGAAGAAAGTATTTAAGAAAAAAAAAGAATAATTTTGCCTTGAGAACACCCTAAAAGAAGCAAAAAATACCCACCCAAGCTTGGCGAATCTCGCCGAAGGCTGCTCACATATTTTTGCCCCGCCCTTTTAGCCTAGAGTTCAGTAGTACTCTGAGGGACCGATTAGTTCGTACTTCTCTGTCTTTTATTTCTGCGGAGACCGGCGACAGTACCACCGTACATAAAACTCAGACAGTACCGTCAGTGGCTAAAGCCCCGCACTTTTCTTGGGGTCATTGCATTAAAATAGGAATCTTATCTGTATCAGTGTTGTTTTGTTTTCTTCAGTGTTTTTAACTGGTGATAAATATGTGACAGTTCTTGGAAATACAGTGTTGATGTGTGATAAGTTAATCAGTTTATCTGGATTTTTATTAAGGTATTTCGAGCATATTTTTTTACTAATATTTAGAAAAATGCTATAAATTAAAAAGATAAATAAGACTATCCCTACGAATCATTTTAATTTACAGACTAGTTGTATTTTCTGTCATTTTTTGGACGTCGTCTGTCGAAATGTTCCCTGCCTCGTTGAACAGACTATACCTATGTTTCATTATTTGATTATTTATCTGTATCTATTTTTTTTTTAAATATAAATAAAATAATTACGGTTTTGGTTATTTAAGAAATATAAATTAGTGATATTATTTTAAATATATTATTAAATAATGGTTTAACAACATTTTTCGATCGCGCAATATGCTATTGTTTGTTAAATAACGAATAATTTGTTTTGAATAATTAGTTAATTAAAAATCTGCATTAATAAACAGTTATTACAAAGTAACACAATATATTTTAGTTGATGCCTCAACACAATATTATAATATGAAATAACAGGAATTAAATTTATTTATTCTCCGATCATTAAATATCTTCGGATCACCGCAAAGGTTATCAATATACCGCCAGTGTCTGTATAATTAACTTTGATATTTATGTGTTTCGACTAGAAAAACAGCACAAATTTATTCCAGCTAATAGAAAAAAGTAAGCGAACTTTGTAATTTATATAACAGCGATATAGCGAAAACGTCATCGTCAATTTAAATATTGCGCCACATTGCGCCTTGAAATCGGAAAGAATGGTGGGGGGCATTATAAATAGCTTCGCGCGTCCATTTTGCCGTCAGTCTGCGCCCGACTTTCGGCTGGTGAGCATCGTTGAGGAGCTATACTGAAATGTGTTTATGGTTAAATGGAGAATATTGTTATGAGTGTGCTTTACAATTATATTAAAACTATGTCAAGGTAATGTTAAGTTTATTAAAAGTGTAGTGGGTGGCATTGATAAATAGTTTCAGTGTAGACACCTTTTTTTCAATTTAATAATATAATTATTAATTATGAAATTAATTACGAATGCTTTACAAATATGGATAATTTGATACTTTAAGTGATTTTAATTTATATATTTTTTTCATTTTATTAATATTTTGTACAAAATATTTTTTATATTTAGTTTATCTTCTACGTTTGTAGTTGTTAATCTATAGTTATAGAATAAATTTAGTTTTATTTTTTTTAATTAATTAGACAGAAATGAGGAATGAAGAGAATTTAATTTTTTTTATAAATGGTATAATCCCGTCCTCATTTTAATTAAATTTGTAATATTAGTTTAGGAATGTCCCATCTCTAATAAAAACCTTCATACCTTTGGGGCCATAAACGACCCTACAATATAATTCTAATTGATAACTTTAACTATTACTTTTGGGAATTTTGATCATAAATTTATATAGCTTTCGCAGACGTCTGTCTATCTAAACAATGTGAGTTTAGGGCAGTGTCGTCCACTGCTCTGAATATTAGATTAAAGATATATAAATTGTACTGTACGCCTCTGTCATTTCTGTAGCTTAGATACTATTTAAGGAACTGCAAGACACTCTTTTGCTTTTACTCTTCAACACGTTATTATTTCTCACAGTTTCCCTCAGGGTAACTATTGTAATTAGTTTATCATAATTAAAGTTAAGTTATATTAACAACAACAGTGTACATAATTCCACACCCGAAAAGACCCTCAACAAGTTGGCCCTTCTGAAGAGGACTACAACATAAATTTTTTTTTAAATTGTATTAACGGAATCTATTGAATTTTTCATATTTTTTAACTTTGATTTGCATTCCTTAGAAATAGATTTATCAATTTAATTTGATCTAACCTAACCTACAAGAATGTTGAATAGTGATAAATATGTGACAGTTTTTGGAAATATTTGTTTGGATTAATTATTCAGTTTATTTTATGTAAAATGTGATATAAATCTAGACATATTTTTTTTGAATTTTAGAGTATAAAAAACTAATATATCTATTATTATACCGGGTGCGTCTCAAAATTTGGTATGTTAGTATATGACATAAATTGGGATTGTTTGACGTATTCAATTGTTTTCGGTTACTTCCGGTTTCACCGGAAATGACTACAACTTTTGATTTTTAAATGACACCCTCGGTGTTTTTTACTTTATTCGATAGAAAATGACACTCTGAATCGAATGACATATCATATGTCAACTTTTGACATTTGGGCATATGGTTTATTTGAAATTGTAACATGCGATTCATAACCACAATTTGACTCAAAATAGCAAGTGTGTGGTATCAAATTATTCGTAAAAAAGTGCTATTTCCAAATATGCTTATGAGCTACCCTCGTTCTATTTGAAAAAAATGAGATATGATTAAAAATACGATTCGGGCATCTTTTAACCGGCCAGGACAAGGCACTAAAAACATTAGACGATCAAATCTATTTTTCCAAGGCTCCTTGATTAAAAATTAGTGTTTTTAACGCAGCCATGGCACTCTAGATTGAAATTTAAAATAGAATTTGTTTTTGAGGGACTATGTCAAAAATCGACATATGGTGTGTCATTCGATTCAGAGTGTGTTTTCTATCAAATAAAGTAATAAAATACCGAGGGTGCCGTTTAAAAATCAAAAGTTGTAATCATTTCCGGTGAAACCGGAAGCGACCGAAAGCAATTGAATACGTCAATAAATCCCAATTTATGTCATATACTAACATACCAAATCTCGTTGTTTTATCTGTAAAAATAAAAAAGTTATAGGGGGTGAGCCACTTTTGAGACGCACCCGGTATAACATTTTTCAATTGCGCAATTTATTTAAATAATGAACATTTTGTTTTTAATACTCTATAGATAAAATATACATTAATAAACACGCCCGACATGAAATAACAAATAACAGAATTAAATTATTTATACTCTAGCTATAAACATGTTTGTTTAAATAGTTTCACATCACTTCAAAGGTTATCAATAATGTCAGTGTTTGTATAATTAATTTTGTTTATGTGTTTTTAATAGAAACTAGAAAAAGGAATTTATTCCAGTGAATGTAAAAACATCCGTAAACTTTGTAACTTATACAACGTGGTAACAGCGATACAACGATCATCAAGATCATCAAATCGAAAAGAGTGGTGGGGGGCATTATAAATAGCTTCGCGCGTCCATTTTGCCGTCAGTCTGCGCCCGACTTTTGGCTGGTGAGCATCGTTTAGGAGCTGATTAAACTGAAATGTGTTTTTGGTTAAATGGAAAACATTGTTATGAGATTGATTTACCATTATATTAAAACTATGTCAAGGTAATGTTAAGTTTATTAAAAGTGTAGATAATAATACTGAGGCCTGGGCTCAGGCAAATTCATGAATTTTATTCATGTTGGCAATATGACTTCATATAATATATAATTATAGTTTATAACTTTTAGTTTATATTTTTTTATTTTAGTAATGTTTTGTGAAAATTATTTTTTATATAGTTTATTTCACTCATTGTAAACACTTTTTTTCAATTTATTGATATAATTATGAAATTAATTACGGATGCTTTGCAGACATGAATTATTTGATTCTTTTACTGACTTTTAAGTGATTTTAGTTTATATATTTTAGTAATGTTTTGTAAAAATAAACTATTTTTTATGTTTAGTTTATCTCACTTTCACTCAGTAGTTGTTGATCTATAATTTATAGAATAAATTGGGTATTATTTTTTTTCTTAATTAGATAATTTATTCAATTAATATAATTTTTTTTATAAATTATTTATTTGATAAATATTAAAGTTTTTAAAATTGACTTAGTACTTTGATTTACAGGCTTTTTTGTAGGTTATGTGTCTTTATCCTTACACATATTTTAAGTTCAATATGATTATAATTAAAATAATTTTGTTATAAATATAACGAAATTCATTTACGGAATTAAGCAACGGCTCACCTTTATATATAAATGAATTTAAACGTTGCATCACTTTGTTTTTTTTTGTTGTATTTATATATTTAAAACTGAAATAAGATATTTCATAAGAATTAAGTAAACTCTTAACCAATTCTTTTTATCTACTGTCTTTATTGTAGCGATATACTAAGAAGTTTGAAGAATCTATTTGCATTGTACCAAAATTATTCAATTTTATAAAAAAAATCAATGTAGCATTGTTTCAAATTAAACTGTTTCGCTCATTATTATTTTTTAATTGTTTCAGATCTTCATCGGCGAATTTAGGAGAAGGTACAGAACAGCGCAGCAATATGCTGGAAAAACCATCAGACGAACCCCAAGCGGTCACTCCTTCACAGAAGACACCACCTTCAATGGCCAAGTTCGGCTGGCATAAGTTAGAATCAGGGCCTTTGGTACAATACATCAATAGGGGCAACGAAAAGTATGTCGCCTCTTCCTTACTTGACACGAAAGTCACCCCTCCCGAAATATTTGACTTCTCTATCGACGTGTTCAATTGTCTACCCCCATGCGCCTTCACGATGACAGCGGACGAAGCGGCCGCCTTCAACTATATCGACGTGCGTCACTGTGACCGCCAGTTGATGGGCAATCACACCTTGGCCGAAGGAGACCCCATGATGCGTTTGGAGGACGTCGACAAGGTGATATCGTTTTACCGGTCCTGTTCGCTGCTAGTGATCAAACGGCAAAGAGTGAATCCTCATTTCGGCTTCATAAGAATCGCCGGGGAACAACTGGTACCATTTATTAGGCAGGACGAAGTCAAGTTGGTGCCTATGTTTTACTTCGATGGGCAAAGCGAGTTCTTGGAAGAAAGATCGGTGGAAGTAAGAGACGATTGGATGTTGGCGGGTTTTCGATTTTGCTGTTTGTTGCAGAAGATTCGAAAAGAGTTATACAATGGCGTTTCAGTGAAAATGGTAGATTTGGAGCACGTGAAAACGCTATTTCCTGCAGAGACCACGTTCGAAATCGATTTTCCGACGTCAGTCAACGAAAAAATCTTCTCCGATATGTTTAAAATGGTCAGAGATGCTAATAAGGCCCATAATTCTGAAGCACTAAACAATGGCGGTAGTAGTAATAGTTCTTCCGCGAATCCTTTAATACCCGACAGTATTACACCAAGGAACCCTTTTCCATTAGAAGGTCACAAGACAAATACAAATTCACCTTCATTTCAGCAAAAACAACCAAGTTCTAATCAATTTTTTGTGAGTAATTCGATGTCTGCAGGAAAAACCCCAAACGTTACCCTAATACAATATAATAATACAATCCCAAACCAAAATGACTTAAGAGGCATGCCTCACCAAATGAATAGTAATTTCAGTCAGCAGGCACCTCAAATAAGAACGTCACAAAATAAATTACCCTTGCCAACATACCAACAACATTTAGCTAGTTTATCCAGGAACCAATTACACAATAGGCCTCCAAATCAGAATCCTACGAATAACCCCCAAATGCAGTATCCAGTAAATGGTTTACAGCACTCAGTCAATCCTAACATTCAATATACAAAACAGCCTCCCAGTCATCACGGACTTTCTAATGTGCAATTTTCTAATAACAAACCAGTGAATCCACAGTCATACACTCGGAACCAAGTGGCATCTCCTTCAAATAGAAACCAAGTGCAATATCCAATGAGCAATACTCCAAATTCTTTTATAAGTCAAGTGCCAGTTCAAAAATCAGATATACACAATGTTTTTCCCCCGAATCTTATAGTAGGGAGATATTCTGGTTCCGAAATGCTAAAACATTTATCAACTTCTTCCAAACCTTCAGCACCATTCAGTAGTTCATCAACATCTACAAACAGAATACCTTCCAATGTAGGAAATAATATGAATAGCATGTGTACCGCTACGGGGAGAAGCCCTTTAGATACTAGTAGAAATATACAGTCAAATCCTAGACGCAATTCTTATAATATCAATTTATTGGACACCTACACTAATGGTCTCTCTAAGAATACCTCACAAAATCATAACAGGAGAAAAAATTCGCTAGAAATATTTAACGTAAACGATGGTCCTCCTGCAGTGGGGAATAATTTAAAGTCCACGTCAAATATAACTATTAATATATTACCTACACCAGGAAGCAAAAGACCTAGCAAAACTAGTGTTATTGTAGACAGCAAGAAAGCAAAAACCCAAGAAGTCTCGTCAGGAAGCAATCATCTCAACCAAACCAATCCACTCTCATTACGTACACCTATCGATTTTCCACAACAACAATCGTCAACCAACGTGCCATACAAGTCGCCATTGGCTGGGTCCAGTCCGATACATAGGCAACCCAGTCCGTTTATGCTGGAGGCCAATCAGAACGGCAGGGTTTCCAGTGCTGTGCCTAATGCCCAGTTCTATGGGCACATCAGTTCGAGTTACTCTTCCGAATCGAGTAGTTCCACTCCCAGTTGGCCCATTTGCTACAAATTGAAAGGAGAACGTTTTTGTCAGTGTCCAAAATGCGATATGATGCAGAAGCAGTGGGTTGAGCAGCAAATTGGGTTTAATTCTCAAAAACCATAGCTACGTAAATGATTTCTGAGTTTGTACTTATCGAAAGAGAAACCAAAGAGCTCCAAGTGATTTCGTGTATTATCTTGTTAAGGACTGTATTGTTGAATCGTGTTCAAATTTAGTTTATAATTAAGTTAATGTTAGTGTATGTATTTTTACATTTTTTTTTATAAAAAGAATTACTGTTTTTGTTTACATATTTTTGTTCTATTTTGAATAAAAAAACGTATTATTGCTTCGTAGGGTGTGTTTTATTTATCCTTATAAAGGCTTCTTTGTGTTGTTTATATATTATTTATACTACAATACTGTAGTTTGAATTCTAAATTTGCCATTAGAAAGTATATTATTATTTCTCTTGTATTTATTATTAAAAAAAATATATTGAGGGATTGGAAAAAGATCAAAATTTGTTTTTAAAAAATAAATCTTATTCAAATGGTGGCTTGAAACTAAATAAATGACTTAAAAGTATAATAGAATAAAGAAAAATAATTCAGGTAGTTTTTGTGACAGATTATTTTTTTGCTGACCTATGTAATCAATATTAGCTTACTTCGGGTTATTCTTATTACCGATTCTAAACCGTCTTAAAACTTTACAGTACATGCGCAGCTTAAAAATTGCCGCATATTGCCTTCTGCGCATACCAGTTCAGAATCGCCCAACGAAAAATCCTAAGTAAGCTTGATTTATTCTCTATTTAAACCTTTTCAAACAATAATATTATAAACTAAAGAATCAAGTACATTATTATAAATGTTCAACAATCAGTTGAATATGCTACTACAAATATTTTAATAAAATTGCCGAAAAACAATTTAATTGATATTTCCGAACGTAGGCTTTCAGCGTCGTTGACATATTGAACGTGAAATTACGTTTTGTACACTTTTATAAGGACCTTTTTCAGAAGCCCCTCCCAACTGCTTAGAAACCACTTAACCCCCCACTACTTCACGCCAATCCAGTTTATCTTTTGATTTGATTTTCCATGAAGAGATATAATAGAGGGTTTATAAAAAGACCAGAGGGCCTTGATTATAGACAAAGATAAGACATACCTGCTAATCACAAAGTCTATTCATTTGAAAACCAGTCGACGAGGATCATTTCCAAGGAACTCGAATCTGCGCTCCTAGGCAATCGTCCTCTATTCTAAAAAAGTTCTCTTTTTGATCGTATTGTTTTCTTTTCTGTCAGGTATTGAAAATGTTCTCTTTTTTACATACCAACCTCAAAATCTAAGAAATATTCCGTCTATCCACAATGGCTTAAGAGTCTATTACGCTGTACTGTTCGGGTCGGGTAAAGCGGGTGTGTGGCAAATATATATTATATTTCGGAAATCTGCCTAAGGCTTAGCCCGATCCTGTCATGATAAACCCTACCCAAAATTCCAAACACACGTGCTTTGGTTAAGGCTTGATTAAGGTTTGTAGAGCTTCAGTATTAGCCATAAAATAGCGAGCAATTTGTTACAAAACCATATAAATTATATATCACTGTAAACACAAAACTTCAATCTATTTCCGTATTGTAACGGAATTTGAAATTATGTCTTTATTTTCGAGAAAATTTAGTCCAAACGTGAGGAATACTTTGTTGATGTTTGACCATCAAAATCTTAAAAATAAAGAAGTTGTCTAAAAATGTGCTACAATACGGATAGTATCCTTCATCTTTAATTTTATTTATTAAATACGGAACGCTTATTTTGGTACTTTTTCGGACTAGTGAAATGGACTCTAAAGGGTAGTTTACACGGAATAGAAAATTGCGATAGAACTTGCTAGAGTAACTTGCGATAGTGTTTACATTTAAGCAAATTTTAAAGCAATTTCTTGCAACAAGTACTTTCTAGGCATATGCTTTCAGCAAGAAATTGCATGCACGTATACACGGTTAGGAAAGTAGTAGAAAAATTCTTCTTGTTGCAATTTTACACAAACAATCAAGAAAATCTAAAAACAGACAATATGGATTAAAGAATGGATTGCCAGAAGGTCTAGTCTTGGAGCTTACGCGATGTTATTAAAAAAATAAGATATGAAGACCCAAAGCATTTAAACAATTTTCTGCGAATGTCAAGGTGCGTATTCATTATCCGCACGAACGAACGAACGAACGTACGCTAGTGGTATGGACGGGGACCGCACGATAGAACCGCACGAGAAGACCGCACGCATTTCTTCATTCGCGCGCCAGTTCAAATCGTCAAGATATTGTTATAAACCTGTTTTTTTTTTGTTTATATACCGTCATTACCGAATTATCGCTAAGCAAGTTACTATGGAGCAGTGCATAAGGAGTCGGGCTAGGAAGCGAGAGACCGGAGTTCGAATCTCGGCCGGAACATCACTTTTTATTTTTTTTTAAATACTGTTGTATTCTATAGTTTATTTTTGTAGTATAAGAAAAAGAACTATTTATTCTGTTATTTTTTAATCTCCGTTATTAATATAAATTGATTGTTAGTACAATACCTCATTTAATATAAAATAATATTCTACTTTTTGAAATGTATCGGGCCCTAATTGTACCTAAAAGTAATATATTTTTAGTGATATACCATATTGTAAACTATTTAATATTTTAGTCACTTAAAAAGTTAATTTGCATTGAATAATTGCCTACCATTAAAGGAAATTTGAGCTATATAATCCTTGATGGGCATATTCTGGGTATGCAAATACTTCCTTTAAATTTTGGGTGTCGTTCAACCGATTTATTCTCAAAACCAGAAACTTCTACATATAAAAAGAAGCAGAGGTCACTAATTATAATAAACTTCACCCTTGGTATTACTTCCACTAATTATAATAAACTTCACCCTTAGAATTACTTCTATCACAATTACAATACGTTCATCTGCATTGGCATTTTCTACTTTTCGATGGGAAACAATAAACTTCCCAATATTTTTTAAATGATGTAACAATTCCTCTTGTGGTTACTTTTCCATAGATATCCTCAACTCTGTCCTCATGTGAATTCAGAGGCAATGAAAATGAAAATTATTTACCATAAACATCGCAAACTAAAAACCTAATAAACAATTTTATACCGAATATAGAAATAAATTCAGTATTCTTACCTATCGTCCAAATCCATGTTAATAGATAATTATTATTTTTAAATATATTTTTGGAACTGCTGGTTTTAGTAATTATTAAATTAAACGAACTAAAAAGTCTTAAAATAAACAATTCTTAACCATAACCCCAAAAATTGCAGATCTCCTGTCAACTTTCTTTATTTTTTATTTATTCATTATTTTCCTAGTGACGTCACAGGTGGTATGCGCGAACTGAACGAAATTGGAGCCGCTATCGATCATACCTTGTATTCTTTGTACCATGACGTCTAAACGCCTTTGATGTACCGACTCGAAGCGGATGGTCGAGCGCACGAACGAACGAACGGCCGCATGCGTTCGGTCCCCGTCTAAATATACCGCACTTTCATTCGTTCGTTCGTTCGTTCGTTCGTTCGTTCGTTCGTTCGTTCGGATAATGAATACGCACCTTAAATCTGAAAGCGCACGCAGGCGAACGCCTTTGGTGTACCGACTCGAAGCGGATGGTCGAGCGCACGACCGAACGAACGGCCGCATGCGTTCGGTCCCCGTCTAAATATACCGCACTTTCATTCGTTCGTTCGTTCGTTCGTTCGGATAATGAATACGCACCTTCAGAAGTCGATTTTACTTTTTCTTTTTATAATTTCGTTCCACAAAAAACATTTAAATAAACAGCAATATATTTTATACGTCGACTTGACGAGTACGTCACCGCAAATCGCTCCGCCCACTCATTTTATTGGGTACTTGCAAATTTGTCGAATTTTTATTGATGGGACGCGTCGTCTAATTTTTTACGAAAAACATCGAGAGAATATCGTTTCCCCTCTCACAGATACCCCGTAGCCACAGAACGGACAGACGTACTGTAGTAGTGCTCTCAGGGTGCAGCCACACTATCCTAAAAACGGCGTATCGGCGTAACGGCGTAATGACCTTGAATAGATTTCCAGTAATTCTATTGGCTGAAATTTTTGACAGATAAAATTTCTGACAGATGAATGTTTCAGCCAATAGAATTACTGGAAATCTATTCAAGGTCATTACGCCGTTACGCCGATACGCCGTTTTTAGGATAGTGTGGCTGCACCCTCAGACATATACTTGCGATAATTTACTTGCCCGTGTAAACTACGCTTTAAGAAAAATATTTATCTGGCAATTGGCAACCATGTGTCTTTCACTACTCCCACTCCCTTACTTACTTCCAACATACAGAATGTTTAGCTTTTTTATGTTTATTTACTGTCAGCTTATGTTTTGAAATAAAAAGTTTTGTAGAAAATATATTTGTTTTATTTTAACAAGTTTTGAGTATGAATATTTTTAATACCCCCTCTACGCTATGCGGAAAACAGTCCGATGCAGATCGAGGTCGTTTTTCCTCGTTTAACTTTGTCTCGTCTCGGCTTATCTCCGGTCGTCTCGGCCTGTATCCGTTTGTCTTGGCCTATTTCATTTCGTAAAAACGCGTTAAATTGCGGAGAAGGACGTGGGGGATTTTTTTTGACGACTTTCGGTTTTCTCCTGTTGTCTCGTTCAATTTCGTTTTGTCTCGAGCTACTTCCACGACGTGCCGATTTCTATACCCGAGATAAAGGATTTTTTTCATAAATCCGTGAAATAAGTAAACCTAGACTATTTCTAAAATATATCTATTGTTACAATCATAGTTCATTAATTACATCTCGTTTTATATTGATATATATATTCCAGAAGAGTAATATTTGAACACGCGTTAAAATATGTTACTATTCATGTTCATGTACGCCTGTTAATATGTAACTCTTCTTGTTTTTTAAACGTATCCTCCATAATTTAAATTAAAATTTAATAAATTTTATATTCTAAAGGAAGTAGAAAACAGTTCAGAGAATTCGATATTGTGTCGGGACATGTTTATTAAATTCCCTGAAGCTGTTTTTTATTTAAATAAGTGTATTACCCAACCTAAATAAAAATAGCCTGCAAGGCCTTGAAAGTTGAAAAGTCTGACGTCGTTCGCAATTAAACAAATACATTTTCGTAAACATGTTTATACAGGAGTGGAGCTTATAAATAATTGTTTACTAATAATTGAGAATACGTATGCATAATTTATTTTGTAATTGAGTGCAGTAATTGTGTTTTGTAATTAAATGCAAAATGCATTTGCTTAATAATAGGTACTGTATACTGTATATTATTATAAATAAAAACGATTATTTTATGTAGACGTTTTATCAATGATATTGATTTTATTTTTCGAATTGCCAAAGCATTAATTTTCATATGATTATTTCCCTCATCGTGAAATGGACCAATCAGCTAATCTAAGTTTTCGAATAAATTTTGTTTAGATAAGTGATTAAATCCCAAGACCAGTTTAACCGCGATTATTTTTTCGGCTTCCTTTTGGGTTTTCTTTTTGTCGTTTATCACTAATTCTGAGAGATTTTGGCAACAGTTCATTTAAAAACATTGATTTACAACTGTATGTATGACTTAATAACGATTTTAATCGGTGAAAACCCCTTATTCGATATTATTTTGAACAAATAAGTGGAGAAAAATACGTCAGAATTTGATATGTTGACATGCGAAACGGTCCTCGATGCATTGTTGGGATGCGTAACCCAGGTAGCAGAAGCACAAACATTACTTATGAGACGTCATTTTAAAACGTCTTTAAATTTTATTTACCGCTATAGTCAGGGGCCGGAAAGTGAAATAGCAAAAGCGGTTCCACCGTTTCCACGGAAATTTCAAATAAAATAGTTCCAGCCTCGGGCGCTAGGTGGTGGTGCAATTAATTTTTAGGTTAAAAAGTTGCTACTAGTTATTGCCAAATGGCGTTCAAATCAGATTTTTTTTGTAGTTTCCATAGTTTCCAACGGCCATTGTCATATTATTGTCAAATTCTCAAAAAATATTGTCGTTGTGAGGGTGCAGCCACACTATCCTAAAAACGGCGTATCGGCGTAACGGCGTAACGACCTTGAACAGATTTCCAGTAATTCTATTGGCTGAAAAATTCATCTGTCAGAAATTTTATCTGTCAAATTCATCTGTCAAAAATTTCAGCTAATAGAATTACTGGAAATCGATTCAAGGTCGTTACGCCGTTACGCCGATACGCCGTATTTAGGATAGTGTGGCTGCACCCTCATAGCGCCACTCATAATATTATCAAAAATAATTATCAAAACCATCAAAACGTTTTTCAAACTAATTTGTTATATGTGTTTTTATTAGACAATTCATTTTGTTTGTGGCCCTAAAAATATAATGTAAGTCATTTATTTTTGCTATCATTTAAGTAACTATTTATATTTACTCCATTTACAAAATTTTGGGCGTATTACGTTGATCTTGTTTTATTATAATAAACGATGACTTATAATTAAAATCTTTAAATAATAAATAATATTTACACATGTTTGGCTTTAATTTTATTTAATAATTGTATAAATTATACTGTTAAATTTTATTTTTTACACATCACAACGATACTTGTTATTAGTATTGGTGAATTTGTGTAAAAAATAAGATTTAATAATCAAATTTAATTATATATTTTAGAGTAGAATTCAATACATACGCTCATTTAAAAAGCCCGCGCTTCGATCCATTTAAAGCAAGCCCTACTCAATAGATGGCGCAACTTCGGTAGGACCATTTTTCAGTATGGCAGAGTCCATTCTTTTTCTAGCTAGGTATATTCTTTGGCTATAGTGAAAATTTGGTGAAAATGAATTCACGGTTTAGTAATATTTCCGGCGACAATATCGATTTGGCAAGTCTTTCAGGAAATAATCTAGCCGTATATCACTCAACCTTTAAATTTAATTGATTAACCCATATAACACAAAATAATCCTATATATATCTTGAGGATATCCACCAAGGATATAGTAAATATCTTAGGGATATCCAAAAACCAGAGGAGTTTATTTAATGTTTTTTGTCCGCATTCCTTTCATAGACACAGATCCAGCAGACGAACTGTAGTTGTGAGAAATAATTAAAATTGTTTTCAATATGTTCTGTTTAAAATGAATTTATTTTGTTTTTCTTGATTTTCACTCATTATGAAATAAAATTATAATAACAGCCTAGTTGCACTTAGATTTTTAATTTTATATTAGTTAGTCGTGTAGTAAGCCAATATGTCGAAAAATATAAAAAGAATCATATTAGGTCCAAAATAGTAGGTTGTTTACGGTATTCTCCTATGGTGGCAGCATCGGCCAAACCAAACCTATAAACATTTCTTGGAATTTTAGAAGGCTCTTTTGTCCTTCAAAGGTTTTCTACCTGCTGTTCATAGTTCATAGAAGTGCAGCTGCAAAGCCGTGGGAACCTTTTTCTAGCAATGAAAAAGAACCGTTCTCCTATAAAATGTTTTTCGAATGCTGGTACCAGTGGTACCAGTTAGTTTTTATAGAAAACAGTTTTAGCATGGCTAAAAAGAGTGTTTTTTAAATTGTTAAAATACCTTCTGTATTTGAATAATTATTGTATCTTGTTATCCAGTGCTAAGAAATTTGCCTTAGTATTTTGTAAACGAATTTATTTTTAACACTCGGAGATGATAAAAATGTATACTTTTTTAAAATATTTTTTTATATATGGATATACACATATGGATATACTACACCTGGATATTTTTTTTTATTAATAAGAAATTAATAAAAAAAAATTTGATCTATCAATCTCTTTAAAAAATATCCAGGTGTAGCAAAAAACAAATTTATGAAATTACTCATTAAATTTTGAATATAGCAAATATAAATTACAAAACAAATATTATACAGTGTGTCCAAGATAGTTGGTAACAATGAAAAACAGGTTTATTTTAAATTGTACAGAAATATTTTTTGCTTCCCAGTTACAAAGACAAAATGTCAATAATAAAAAAGTTGTTCCTCTTGTCAAGACCACATCCGGGGACATACTTTATACAAAAGTGATCGAAAAAAAACGGCGTCAGCGATGGCTATGAAATGAAGATCGTTGTCATTTTATATGTAAAATTATATGGGGAATGTCATCGATCGTCACATCCAAGCCAACTGGACGCCGTTGTAGTTTCATATTCTCAGATTTTTAATTTAAATAAAACAAAGATGTGATATACATTTATTTAATTTTAATACATGGTAAGTAAATAATATTTATAATATGTACAAAGAGTTTTGATACAATAATTATTTATTCTTGGATGCGTTAATAGAACATAAATAGACAATTTAGAATTAACAAACATAAAATTTAGATAAATATAATAACAACATATTATCTAACATAAAAATAAAATAAAAAACAAAATACTAGGTATGTGTATAAAATACAGGGTTGTAAAGAGTTGTAAATCAATTATCAACCTTGATGTTTTTTAAAGTTAAAAATAAAATTTATTATAACAAATAAAACAGATAAAACAATAATCAATTTCAAGGTTTACACATTGGTAAATTCTTAGAAAATAATAATCTTTAAAAATAAAAAAAACGAAAATAAAGTAAAAATATCTGGGCTAAACATATAATCACATGATATATGACTCATTTTTATGAAAGGAGGTTAAATAAAATTATACAAATTTACTCATACGAACAAAAAAATGTCTTAAAACTAATTAACGAATTTAAAATAATAACTGCTCTCATATACCCAATAATCATAAAAAAAAATAATTAAATATGCCTTAACTTGAATTACAACAATTCATTATAGCGACCTATTTAATTATATCTGTTATTATACCGGGTGCGTCTCGAAAGTGGCTCACCCCTATAACTTTCTTATTTTTTCAGATAAAAAAACGAGATTTGGTGTGTTAGTATATGACATAAATTAGGACTGATTGATGTATTCAATTGTTTTTGGTCATTTCCTGTTTCACCGGAAATGACTGCAACTTTTGATTCTTAAATGAGATCCCCCTATTTTTTTACTTTATTCGATAAAAATGACACTCTGAATAGAATGAATCAATATATGTCAATATGTCAATCAATGTCAATATAAATGTCAACTTTTGACATTTACGTTTAAAAAAATCGGCTGTTTGTTAGGTTAAGTTAGATGGTCTAATTTTGATCGTCTAATGATTTTCGTGTCTTTTCCTGGTCGGTTAAAAATGCCCAAATCGCATTTTTAATCATTTCTCAATTTTTTCAAATGGAACGAGGGTGGCTCATTAGCATGCTTGGAAAAAGTATTTTTTACGAATAATTTGGTACCACACACTTTTGGTAGTTCGCGTCAAATTGTCGGTATGAACCGCGTGTTACAATTTCAAATAAACCATATGCGAAAATGTCAAAAGTTGACATATGATATGTCATTCTATTCAGAGTGTCATTTTCTATCGAATAAAGTAAAAAGGATACTGAGGGTGTCATTTAATATTCAAAAGTTGTAATCATTTCCGTTGAACGAGGAAGTGACCAAAAACAATTGAATGCGTCAATCAATCATAATTTATGTCATATACTAACATACCAATTCTCATTTTTTTATCTGAACAAATAAAAAAGTTATAGGGGTGAGACACTTTTGAGCAGTACCCAGTATTTTCTTGAGATTCATTTTATTTTTATCACCAGTGGCGTAGTCCATACTTTTTGTTTACTTCATTTTATCTCACAAGAAAATTATAATTCCTTTGGCAAGCATGGGGCAAAAATCTAATTTGGCAAGCATGGAGCAAAAGTAAATTTGTATTACCGTAAACATAACTTCTGACAAGCAGCGTCCGTTTAGGTTTAACGCCAGAAGTGTTTACAAAAAATAACTATTTTATTTTGTAGATTTTATTGCAGTGGCGAAATACCCATAAATGATTTTTTTTGGAGTAAATGTAATTTTTGGATGTAACCGCGGGCTAAGCTACTGGTTTTTAGGACATATCTGGGCATATGTAAGCACTTAACATAACAAATTGAGAGAGCTGTTGGTTTTTCTTAACTGAGCCCTCCACGGAATAATATTAGGTTCTTCATCCGATACCTCGTCGTCCAAGGAATTTGTACTGAGACTCAGATACCGGTCTTCCTCTTTACCATTGGTACTATTGTTGTTCAAGTCGTCTAGGTTTCGTTTATCCTCAGGATAATCCGGTCTTAGTTCTTGGATCTTCACTTTAGGTTCGTCCACTATTTTTGGCGTGTAGATTGTTTGCCTAGAATTACGAGAAATTTTAAAAATATATTTTTTTAATAAGGGGCAGGCTCTAAAGGTAGGTTTATATAGATCCGTCATGCGTCATCCGTCATTTTTAAGATGAACAAATAAAATGTCATAAAATCAAGGACGGACAATGTAGACGGATTATATGCATTAACCATCCCTCCAAACCAACCCGCACTTAGTGTATGCTTACATACATCAGTCATGCAAATATACACATGGCCAAAATTATTGCATATAACGATATTTTTATTTTATTTTGGACCTAATATGATTCTTTTTATATTTTTGGACATTACTACACGACTAACTAATATAAAATTAAAAATCTAAGTGCAACTAGGCTGTTATTTGAATTATATTTCATAATGAGTGAAAATCAACAAAAACAAATTTCATTTTAAACAGAAAATATTGAAAACAATTTTTTCTTTCAACTAATAGTCTGTACTGTCTCCTCGAGCCTCAATGCAAGCTGTGAGACGACGTGGCATGCTCTCAATTAAGTTGTCCAGAAGATGTTGAGAAATGACTTCCTATGTTTCGCGCGCAGCAATTTTATTTGCATTATACCTGCATTATACCTGCCCATACCATAATGCTTCTTCCTTGAAACGGGACACGGGGTTGAGCTGCATTCAAGCGTGCTCGTCTTCCAGATGCTCTCCAGACCAAAGTTCGTCGCGAGTCTGACACTAGGCCTATTCTTGTTTCATCACTAAACATAACGAAATTCCAATTAGGTCCATTATTTGCTCTCATCTCCTCAGCCCATTGTAGTCGCGTAATTTTGTGCTGTAAATTAAGCTTCGGAACACGTAGAGGCCTCCTTAAATGTAATCCTCTGTCATGGATTCTTCTTGCTATGGTCTCTCCTGAAACATTTACTCCTACAAGGCGAGCTAACTCATTTTTAATAGCAGTACTAGAAAGCAGGGGATTGCGTCGTGCAATTAGGGATATCTGAAGGTCTTGCACAGCAGTAATAACTCTCTTTCTACCTCTTCCAGGCCGGTCTGTAACCTCGTTTGTGTCCCTGAACTTTTTTAATATTCGCGAAACATCGCTCTGTTGAGACAGTGTTACTATTCTGACTCTATTAAACTGTGAAATAATGTTTTAAGGCCAACACAATGGTCAAATTTCTTCTGAAACCCAAGAGACCTACAAATCGAAATTTGCAACAATTTGTAATAATATTGGGTCTGAACGATAAACATTCTTCACCATATCCATTTTGACAAAAAAATGTTTATTACAGATTATCAAAGTTATGTATAAAGAAAAGAATCTTTAAATTCCTTTCCGTATATTTTTAAACGATATATGCAATAATTTTGGCCATGTGTGTATTTTATTTTTATTTTTATGAATTCACAGACGCATGAAAAACCACATTTAGACAAACAAATTTGTAGTTGTGAAGTGAACTTTGAAGTTAACTTTGGATGAATCATAGAATCGTGGTCACATTGTTTCATCTTTAGTGTATATTTTGGATGAATCAAAAACTAGAGAAGTCTACACTTACTACTTTAGACGATTCCTCCAAGATAATCGTTAAAAGAACTTTTAGCTCAATACAAAAATTGATAATTATCTACCTTATTTTTATCTCTGTTTCTTCCTTCTTCAACATCAATTGCCTCTTCCATTGTGGTATGGATTGTAGTCGTTTCTCTTCAGCTTCCTTTTGAAGCTGTTCTTCCATTTCTTTTCTAGCTTTCTCGGCTGCTTTCTTGGCCAGCATCTGTCGCTTCCAGGCTGGTATAAGATTTCCAGAGTTGTCCTTATCAGGTATCTAGAAAAAATATTTAAGTATAGTTTAGACAGAGTAGCTGGTAAGTATGGTTTAGACACAGTAACTGGTAAGCTCATCAATCAAATCACAAAGGAACTGCTAATGCTCAAGGACCTACTAAGACACAGAGGACATCTCCTTAATATTAAGAAAAAAAACTCATCATACCTTCTCCACAAACTTAGTCGCGGTAAACTGCTTGGTGATCTCAGTAAACATCTCCTTCTCCATTGACATCTCCGTTTTGGCCTTCTCCATCTTCATCTTCTTCACGCCCGTTAAATCCTTGGACATTTTCAACTCCGCGATCAGATCCGTCTTCTGACTGATGTAGGCGTCCGCGCTGTTGAGGCACTGCAACGACATGCTCCTGGTGGGCGCAGAAAACGTCTTGGTAGCCACGGTTTTCTCCGTTCTGCGCAGCTGCACCGAGTTCAAGTCTTGTATGCTGATGGCCGAGAGCGGCTGCAGTTTTTTCACTTTGTCTTGGTGATTGTTACCGTTGCTTTGTTTGGATATGGTGTTTTGGGTTAAATCACCTTTAAAAAATAAATAATAATTAATCAAAAATATACAGGGTGGTCCGAACTGTATTCCGGAAACTTCGGCAGCATATTCTGCAGATAAAAATAAGTAAAAAAGTTCGTATAAATGTATGTCTTAGTGTCGGAGATACAGGGTGTAGAAGTTTTATTTTTATTTCGATTTTTTTCAAATAATTTCTTAATTAAAATATTAAATACTAGATTTTTAACCAGTGTGTGAGATGATTTTTTTTAAATTTTAAAATTCAAAATTGTTCATGATTAAACATCAACAAAAAAGTCGTTTACCGCATATAGGGCTCCCTACAGTAAGTATGATTTCAGAGCTTTGCGAAATGCGGGAAAGAATGAAAGCGATTTGATATTCAAAGGCAGATGATTGTACATTTTCTTGGCGTTGTGCAGTATTGAACCTATAACTAGTTCTGAGCTCGTCCTAAACCCCATTCCTAAGTGGATAGTTGTGAGATGGCTTTTCGGGAATAGCAGATATGTGCTTGCGGATTAAGCAAACGGATTCAAAAATGGACAAAGAAGGAAGAGTCAGTATTTTGAAATTATTAAAGAAATTCTTGCAGTGAGCTCTATTGTTCAGTCTCAATAAATATCGAACTGCTCTCTTTGGAAGTTTCAAAATACGATCAAATTTTGTCGCGCAGCAAGTACCCCTGAATGGAAAGGCATAACGAAGATGCGACTCAAAAAGGGCATAACAGACTATTCTAGAGGTTGATAGCAATAGTTAAATTCCTTAGAAACTGATCTTAGCGCAAAACAGGCAGCGCTAGTTTTTTTGATAAAGCTTCGATGTGGAAGTCCCATTTTAACGAGTTGTCTACAAGTCCTAAAAATTTCACAGAGTCCATGACGTCAATAGTGGTGTTATTAAGTACAAAAGGTTGTATAGTACTTTTATATGACAAAACTTTAGTTTTTGATAGGTTGAGGTATAGGAGATTAGAATCGCACCAAATTTTAATTTCAATATACAGTACATACCATTAAACTCTGGCAATGGAGGTGGGGGAGGTCCAACTCCAACTTTACTCGTTTCCACAATCTCCTCGTACTTCTCCTCGCTCTTCTCTTCGCCATTGGTCATCCTGATCGTCTCGTACTCCCTCACCTCTATCTTCTTCTCCACACCACCGCTACCACCGATGCTCCTCAGATACTCCGAGGGTTTGATGAGTTTGTTGGGGTCGGCCACCGGGAAGCTGGGAGGAACGAAGGGCAGCACCCTCTGGCGGTTGCAGGGGGTGGCGGAGATCGACTGGACCCTGGTCTCCTCTTCGTGGAGGCTGACGATGGTCAGGTCCGAACAGGAGGAGTTGAGACGACGAGCAGCTGAAAGAGAGAAAAAATCTTATTAGAAATTTCTTCTTGTGGGTGGTTTTAATTTTAATTGAAAAAATATCTGTGTTTAATTTATTTGCAATAGATGCTAAATGTTTAATAATAAACAAAAAAGCTGATGACAGTTTTAATATACAGGGTGGTCCGAACTGTATACTGGAAACTTCGGCAGCATATTTTGCAGATAAGAAGACCGCGATAGATCTGAAAATGTAATTCCTCCTAGACAAACAAGACAAAAACGAAACAAAATTAAAGTGTGAAATATAATAATAATACAAGAAATTTCTAGAATATAATATAAATAAATTACATATGTCGATGTCGAGAACGGACGTTACTAATGATATTTATAATAAAAATGAAATCGAATCTTTTCACGCATCATTTCATTTCTCCCGATGCGTCTGGCTTTTCTACCGGCACAGATCGAGAAAGTCTTAAAGTGTATCGATAATTATTTATTAAACCAAACCCATTAATTGTCTCAAACACCGCACACTTTCACGCTTAAATCATAAAAAAATATCGTCATCATTGATTCTATATATCGATTGCACAATTCAAACTAAAAAAATAATTAATTAAAAGTAAGAACAAATTTTTAAAAAAAAGATTTCTGAAATTAAATGTGTCGAATCTATGGCAGTTTCACCCCTGTGATTTGTTCACTGCGATAGCATTCACGAGATTTTCAAAGAAAACTAAATTCACTCTTTATGAACGGTTGTGAAGGGTCGGTCCTAACCAACAAGAGGATACATGAATGTGGAATGTTTAGGAGGGGAGTTAATCACCGCGACCTTACAGATCTCTATTGTGTGTTCCCTTTTCTTGAGTTATAACGAGTTATAACTCATCATACGGTCTCGGGGCTTTAACAAAAACCAGTATCTTAGACGGATACACAGAGGCCAACTCTCCATCCTCGACATCAGCCGTACCAAAGTTCATGGCACGAACGGTCGTCGTTCCGGCGCACTCAGTGATAAGGTGTTCTGGTGTTTCCCCATTTTCCCCACAGAATCTGGATTCGCCGTTGTTTCTCAGCTTCAGCCTACTGAGGAGACAATGTCCTGTTAGAAACCCCATGACAATCCGAAGATTGTTTTTGCTTAAATCAAGGAAAATCTTCGATTTTTCTCGGTCGTAAGTTCATCGAGAACTTTTTCGAGTATCTTTGACCGTTGGATGACTCCCATTCCAGGATACGGATGGAGCCTTCCAGGTTCTTTAGTTCCGCTTTTAGTTGATTTCCGCTTGGAAAACAGAACGGTTCTGGCCCAGTTACTAGAGTGATCGCTCCTTTCCTAGCTATTCTAATATCATTTGCTATTTCATTGCCTTCTATCCCTTGGTGAGCGAGCACCAGAGTAGGGAAAGTTTATTTTCTTTGCCTAATTTGTTGAGCTTCTCTATGCATTTTTTGATCAACTTCGAATTGATGGTTACTGAGTTGATCGGGCGAGTAGTGCTGCTTGACTATCACATAAGATGGTTATTTCCTGTTTTCGATAGTTCCTATCTAAGATAAATTGTACGCATCATTCGATAGCGTAGATTTCTGCCTGAAGGATGCTGGGGTAGGGTGCCCATTGATTCGGAGTATTTATTTTTCGGTCCAAATACTCCTATCCAGGTGCATGACACTTCTTATGGGAGAACTGGCAATGGTTCAAAACTTGACTACAAGCGATTTTCTAGGAATCTTACTTACCGATAAATTATTGACAAGAGTGACAGATAAAACCTTGACGTTCTTTCAATAATTGAGTTCATCTCTTTTTCTTTCTAAAGCGTGCGTTGAAAGGAGACAAAAACCATTATTGGTGACCCATCGTTTGTTATTCGAACACCACTCTACCACTTTTCTCCTTGTCGGGTCGTTGACGTTGACTTGTCGCCATTTTATTTCTTTTGTTTACACGCTGCAGTTTGCTTTGCAAATTTAATACATAAATTATTTAAGCAAATATAGGTTTTTGATAAAACTCCTCAGACTAACGTGTAAGTAAGTGTTGATAAATATATATTTTTTTTCATCTTAACATGCTCATTGTCATTCTCCTGATTTAGGTGACAGAAAAGGATCATCAAATCAGACTGAATTTTATATTTTTTCATCCCAGGTCCGATAGTAAAATATACAGGGTGTTTCAAAACAAATGCGACAGACTTCAGGGGGTGATTCCTTGTTCAAAATAAATGGTAGTTTGCTTCATAAACGTTGGGTCAAAAGTCAACCATTAGGGAGATATTGCGGTACAAAGATGGCGGAAAAATAATGTTTTTATTTTTTATCTTGAAAACGAAAAGAGATAGACTAATAAAATTTTATGGAAGCATTACTGTTATGAAAACACTTTCTGGTAATTTTTTCAATTTTTTAAAATTAGTGGAAGGGGTTGAAATCAACTACCCCTATCGTTCTTGTTGACGAAATTTCAGGAAAAATCTTATCAAACACATGCAAAAAAATTAATTTGGATAGTTTAGTTTGTTTAGAAACTTTTTTATCTCTTGTATTTTTTTGATAAAACTCACCGATTTGAAATTAAAAAATAAAATGTAAAGCATTACATGTCAGGACAAAAAACATTTTCTGATAAAGAATCTAGTGGGCTGCTGTAATTTTTTTTAGAAAAAAATCTAGTCGGCCGCTGTTACTTTTTAGGATGTTCCTAATATTATTTTATTTGACATTACTCTACTGCAATACGTTATTATCTAGATGATTATTATTATCGTTATTATCACTAGATTCTTAATCTAAAAATGTTTTTTGTCCTGACATGTAATGCTTTACATTTTTTTTTTAATTTCCAATCGGTGAGTTTTATCAAAAAAACACAAGAGGTAAAAAAGTTTCTAAACAAACCAAGCTATCCAAATTAAAGCATTTGCATGTGTTTGATAAGATTTTTCTTTAAATTTCGTTAACAAGAATGATAGGGATAGTTTATTTCAACCCCTTCCACTCATTTTAAAAAGTAAAAAATTACCTGAAAGTGTGTTTTCATAACAGTAATGCCTCCATAAAATTTCATTAGTCTATCTCTTTCGTTTTCAAGATAAAAAATAAAAACATTATTTTTCCGCCATCTTTGTACCGCGATATCTCCCTAATGGTTGACTTTTGACCCAACGTTTATAAAGCAAACTACCCTTTATTTTGAACAAGGAATCACCCCCTAAAGTTTTTCGCATTTGTTTTGAAACACCCTGTATATTTTATGGATGCCTTCCTAAATATCAACGAGATGAGCCATCGGAAGAAAGGGACCATAGTACTTTCCACTTAGGATATTGAAATTATATACTGTAGTCGTGTTCGGCAGGAACAACAGATATAAAGCATCCCAGAGGAAAAGAGGGGAAATACCTGTACTCTCTCTGATATTTGTGGAAGTTAGGGGAATGTATTGTTGTAAATGTCATCTTTTTGATCGACCTGAAAACTTCGAGCAAAAAGATGACACTTTCAACAATACCATGACAGATATCAGAGACGATTCAGGTTTTTCCTCGCTTTTCCCCTGGAATACTTTTAATTTATTATTCTTTGTTTATCTAGATTTCTCAGAGCACTATGAACGAACTCAGCTTGTATGTTTGAAATAATCGTCCAGTTGGCTTAAAAATGATGATCGATGACATTTCCCATATAATTTTACTTTCAAAATTATGATATATATCTTCATTTCTAAGCCATCTATGACGCCATTTTTTTCAGTTTTGTTATAATTAATTTTGTCTCTTGATCTGTACTTGTAACATTATTCTTTTAATTTTATTAATTTATTGCGGTGAAATGAATTTCTGTTGTATATTTGATATTGATATTAAACATATTTTTAAAAAATGGCGTATTTTTTGTGTTTTTATGTATGTCATAATTAAAAATAAATAGAGAATTAAAATTTTTTATTTTTTCAAACTTCCCGCCATACGTGACAATCTAGTCCGTAGTTCCTACAAGCGATATTGGGGGCGCTAGTAGCAGTAGACATGTCAACACTGTCAAATTTAAACGTCAATTTCACTTTCCAATATTTAGTAAGGCGCTAGCACTTCTGCTTGTGTATGTGTTTTGTGCTCCTATCCATGTCCCTACTTTTGTTTTGGAAGCATCAGTATACCACGTTATGGTATGGTCTTTTTCATGCTGAGCAAACGTTTCTTCCTTCCAATCCTTTTTATTACTCAATACTACAGTGAGGTGTTTCTCAAAGTTGTAAATTCTTGGTACGTCATCCATGACAATAACAGAGAAATTATAGAATGATCAAAGCTAATAATCTCAAACTTATTAATTTCATGACATGTTATCATTTTTAGTACTCGATTTCCTATTTCCTGCTCTTATTCTGCGGTATTAAAATTACAACTGTCTCTGTCACACACCTATTATTTTATATGCAAATGCTGGCCTTATTTGTTAAACAAATAAAACTTCAATTGCCTCTTAGTACCATACGAAAAAAGCAAAATAAAAACGCGTTAATGGCACGTCCCCATAAACGCACACGAGCAGAAACAGTTGGCTACCGTGCGTTTCAAGTAGCCGGGTCACCAAATCTAATATGTACCTATATTTTTCTTCAATGAAAATTGCATGGAGACCAGATGACGAGAAACTCAGAAGAACAGAGACAATTTGCTGAGATATATATAATGAGATAGCGAAAAAAATATTTACATGTAAACTTAATTAAACCAAATAACGATCGAGTCTCATTATTTTATTATACAGGGTGGCGCAGCTCATTCGCCTCGGTTGATTATACGAAAACGGAAAGGCAAGAAGGAAAAGCAATGTACATAATTTAAAATTATTTTCAAATATACAGGGTGTGTCAGAACTAAGATCCATACCAAAGGTATACAGGGTTGTTCACCACATGCGACACGGAATATTGTACTAAACGATTAGATTTTTACAAATTGTAAGTTTTGAGTTAAGGACTATTAGAGCAACAATTTAAAAATAT